TGTTAGTAAGAAATGTGGTGCTCTGGAAGCAGATCTATAGAGGTAGACATTTGGTGCTAGGGACTTGATATTTCAGATTTACAGGGACTTGATATTTCAGATTTACATCAAGCTAACTCTAGCCTGGTACCTGGGGACTGGATGCTCATTAGTGGTTGGAGTGCAATACGTGCACTCCTGCAGTACATCTTTTGGCGTAGTTTCATTTGAAAGGAATCCAGTTCACGAGTCTGCTCCCTGATGTAAATGAAAGCATGGCAAGTGGGGACAACCAGGAGAGTAGCTTCATAAACGCACTCCTGATCCAAATAATAATGTGCACACAGAGGCGCCCATAAGGAACCAAGGTCAAGTAACAGCGCACAGTCATCTCTTTACCCTGAGGTTCCACATTCTTCAAATGTGAGGCAAAAAAGAGCAGCAATGGGCTGATGAGGCAACTGCTCAGCTGGCTGAGCAGCACTCTTTTGCGTTCTTGCAGATAGCTACTAACCTAGTCTTCCACACTATTACACTTCTCCAGCCTTCCTATTTCTCAAACCCTTATTAAATATATATATATGTATGTAGGCAGTCACATATATATATATATATGTGCGTAGGCAGTCATGTCTGCTGCAGGGATTTCCTCCCAGACAATACCTGTTGTGCTAGCCACAGCGGTTCTCTTGGTTCCCATGCTTAGAGCGGTTTGAGTTTCCTGCTGGCTCAGCAGCAAGACTTTCAGTGCTTTTTATACTTATTCTTCGGGAGCCAAGTGGAGGAGCACAAGTTTGCCTATGAATAGCGAGCTGACTGGGCAGGCGGCAGGAAGCTTGCATGGTAAACGGCATGAACTTTGACGGAGGGGAGGAAGGGGGCCGCTGGATGGGGTGTTCAGGGCGTTTGCTGCAGTCCTCTGTCTTGTAAATTCATCATCTGTAAAAGCCCCAAAGCACCACTGATCTTCCCTGCTCCGCCTCCTTCGCAGAAGGAATAAAAATATATGTTAGACGAGAGGTGAAAAGAAGCAAGAGAGTTAAAAATGGAGTTACAGAAGAAAGAAGGAGTGGGGTTAGAGGGCAGGAATGAGTGAGCAGACTTGGTTTTTAATTATTCATGAGGAATGTTATGCACGCGCTGCCTGTGCAGGCTGCTGCCACAGCACCTGGTGCTGCGTCACTGGCCTCGCGGGCCCACGTACTTATATCACCTGCCTGCTCCTGCAGGAGTGACTGCACAGTCCTCTGCGGCTACGGGCAGCTTTTCTGCATTTCCCAGGCAAAATTAAAAGCACAGAAACGAAAGCACCCTTCTTTCTTCCAAGCCCCCCCGCCGCCCCCGCCTTTCAGTTGTCAGCAAATTTAATAAAAAAAAACAGTTCCTGTTTGCGAGGACCAGGCATCACAGTGCTCTTATGTAAGAGGGTTTGAGGATGGTGCTGTGAAAAGCTGGTGCCTGCTGATCAGTCCCGGGTAGCGCTGTCCTCCGCCTGTGCTGCAGGGAGAAGAACCAACCATTTGGCCAGTGCCGCGTGGCTCTCCTTGGTACGCAGGGGCTGCCCAGCCCCATGTGCCTGTTCTGAACAAGGAGCTGGATGAAAGGAAGGAAGGAAGGACGAGCTGAGCTCATCTGCCTGCAGAAGAGCTCCCTGCCTCTCATTTGTGTCCAAACAAACAAGAAAGAGCTTTGGCCCATGCTTCGCAATGAGGTGGCAGAGGATCACAGCTCAGCTAAAGATGCTTCCTGACCCAGACAGGCCTGGCGCGTGCGAGACGCCGCAGGCAGCTCTTCCTGGGAAGGCTCCGTGAATGGAGAGCTCCTGCTCCGTGAGCAGGCCGGGCGGCCAGGCCGCTCTCCTGGAGCGGGCGGGAGCAAGGCAGGGGCCATGGGGCAGGCACCAGGCTCTATTTTTAGGGACGTGGGATGACGGGGGAAGCCTGTGGGAGGTAGAAATGCTTCAGCACCTGGGAGGTGGGGTGCAGCGCAGTGCAGTTAGTCACGTCGTGGGATCATTGCAAAGCAATGAGAGGTGTCTGTTCCAAAACACTAACTGCTCTGTGCTTTCTCTCTGCTCGATAGCACCGTTTTCTTAGGATTTTCTAAGGCTCTAAATAATCCACAAGTGCACAAGTTCATAATAAATTGGAAAAGGCTGCATGTGCCTCTGCAGCCAGGTCTGCCCCAGGGTGGTGCAGGCATGTGTGTGGCCTCTGCCCAGGCCAAGTCTCCTTGCAAAGTGAGGAGATACTGCCTGGGTCCCAGAGCAGGGTCACCTGGAGCGGGCACAGGTGTCTCTGCTTTGCCGGGCCTGACTCCCCAATCCAGGGTTTGCTATGGCAATGGATTTGGATCATCTAGAGCCTAAGCCAACAGCTTCTGTCAAAACAGCTCATGGCAGAGTACAGTCACTTCAGAAGGGACGGGGTTCATACACCATTATTTTCCTAGAGAATACAAAGACAATCCCAAATTTGGGGAATTTACCACTGGGTGCATTCATTTTTTGTTCTTCTCCACTGCTGATTGGCAGAAACTCAGTTTAAATTACACCTAAGCGATGATATTGGTGGCCTTAGTTTTTTTAAGGCTGTCCAATGCTTCTTATTATAAGACCAAAATTTTAGCTGCTTATAACCCTCGCAAACTTCAATCACCACTTAGCTGAATTTTTCCACCCGGGATGTCTGTCTTAGGCTGAATGTGTTTGAGAAGTTTCAGTAAAAATGCTTTTGCTTGCTTACAAGAAAGAGACACATACATTTTTTTCCTTATATTCAAACATGTTCTCAAAATTGCCTGTTGGGAAACTCTAACACCTTTTGCCTTTGGAGCAGAGACTTGAAAATAGGCAGATATCAAGAATGTGACTTTGGTTGTTCTTCAGGAGGAAAAAAAATAGTTGAACTCAGAAACCTTAGGAAAGAAAAAAAGCTTCAGATCTCAGGCACTCACCAGAAACTTCTTAGAGATAGAAACTGAATTCTCTGAAGGCACATGCTCACTAGAGACTTGTTCAAGTCTGGTGGCTAAATCGTTGATGAGTGTGCAGTGGGCATATTCCAGCCTTGGGTTGCAGGTGCAGAGCAGCAATTATTTGAAGCTGTTTTTCCATTCTGGCAGGGATGCTGTGCTGCTGGGCACCAGACATAAGAGCCAGGAGACTCCCTGGGCTGCTGCTTAGGCAGTGCGTGAGAGTGTTGGTACTGACAGGCCAAGGAGGGTAGGAGGTGGCCAAGGGAGGCAGGCAGCTCTAATGCAGTCAAAGACTGAGGACTCCCAGCCTGGGGAAGGGGACTGATGTTAGTAGAGCTGGTCTAAGGCAGAAGACAAGTTGGTAGGATTATGAGCAGGAAGAATCAGGTTTGAGAATGTCTACGCCAGCAAGATTGTACTTCTTACAGAGGCTGGGATAGAACAGGTTCAAGTATTTCTGCCTCACAGTTTTCTATTGTCAGCAACTATTTGGGAAACCCGCTGGCAAAGGCTGTGACTCACTCCAGGCTGCTCCCTCAGCAGAGACTGATGGTCTGTTAATGCTCCCAGTTATTCTGCTTTTCAAGCACTATAGATTTAACATTTGAAAATAACATTTGAAAATATGCTGATGAATCACATGGTTGCCACTATAAAGCCACATGAAGGAATTCCCACATTTTTGTTTCGGTTTGCCTTGCAAACCAAGGAAATGACATATACCCAACATAGACGAAAAGCATGTGAAGTACGCAGGGTCAAGCACCTAGAAACTAGAAAATGCTTGATTTAACATTGCCCTTGCCATCTCAGCAGTTCAACTCCCATCTGTGTAAGCAAAACTTTTAGCTACGGAATCAAATATAGATGTAAATATTTTTTCCCACAACACCACAACCTCTTTTAATACCCAGGATGGATAGTCCTCCGAGGGTTAATCAAGGCTTGTGTTGAAGAGCTCTAGCGCTGCTACATTTTTTTTGAAGCTGTGCTTGATATGAGGACTCAGCTCTAAATTCATGTGTCTACTGCCACAAGAGATTCCAGCAACTGGGCAACTGCAATGAAAGCCTTTCCATGCTCTGTATCTGTGGGCTAGAGAAAGACAAAAACAGATGGAGTCCTCAGATAAACTATCTGCCACACTTGAACAAGTCTCCAATGACCATGTGCAGTTTTGTCGAGGACTTGAAACTTGACCACAGGTTGGAAGAGTTTTATGAGAACACCAAAGGCACATTCCCCTTCCCTAGCTAAGTGCCAGTCTCAAAAGTCAGAGGCACTCAGTCTCTTTATTTGAACAGAGCAAGCTAACATATATCTTGCTAATAGTACTCTCTGAGACAGTTGAATTACTTTTGCTAAAAATTACCAAAAGATTCAGCCTGAGGCAGACATCCAGCACAGAGTATTTCAACCCAAGCAGCTGAACTTTGGCAAAGCTGTAAGTAACAAAACAGTCATTAATGGGAAGTGTTAAGCAACTCTACAGACAGTGCTCACAGCAATGAAATTACAATCTTCAGCTCTGCGGATGGCTCCAACAGAAAAGATGTTTATATTCATGATATCCTGCCTCCATGTATTTAGCAAGCTGATTTATACAAGCTAATATCAACCTGTGTTTGTAAATACAGCATTCGAAGGCTCCATGGAAGAACTATAGGCTTACCAATTACCTTATGGTTTGCTACTGAATCAAATGCTAAGAAGAAATTATATTTAACAATGGTAAAGCATGAAGGGAAACACTTGGGGCTTGTCTTTTGCTCGTTGTTAAGAGAAAGATAAAGGAAAAGACATGAAATGTGATCCTAAACTATTGCTGTGAGTTTGGCCAGTGTCTGACTACATATGCATGAGCTATACGCAGAATAAATAACAAGCACAGCTGTGAATTATGCAGTTCTAGCGTTCCGTTGACAATTATGTTGATGTCAAAAACCACAAGAGGGAAGGCAGCATCGCTGGAGCTAAAGCTGGAGCTGTAGGCACATTATGGGCAGCATACTTAAAATGCTAATCAGACTAATCCTTTTCCGTAGAGATCTGACATGGAGCATCTGGTGGCTTCTTCTAGAAAACTGGCCTCTGAGCAGGCGGCTGATATCAAAGACGAAACCCTTGGATGGCCACCCACAGCTGTCTGACCCCTTTGGTAAGCTGTTCTCACAGATATAAGTCATTTCCACTCACTGCAGCATCCAGATGTTTGCAATAGAGGGGCTGTCGTGGCCTTTGCTCCTCTTTGCTGCCTCTCCAATGATGCACAGTCATCATTCACAAAAGGACATTTGCAAGTGCTTGTTAGCTTTAAATTGCCGGATGGAGCTGGAGCCAGGAGCAAGAGCTCCCGCAGCTCTCACACGGGCAAGGGCAGCTCCCCGCTCGGGTGGTATCTGGGCTGCCTGGTCAGGGCCTGCTGCGTGACCTGGCTTTCCACCTGTGGAAGGAAGAAATGCAGCCGGGATGGCTGAGCTGGCCACGACCCCGCGCCGTGCTTGGCGCTGGTCTGCTCCACGGCACAGCACGACGCTTTCTGTCATTGCAGTTGTGAAGCATGCTGGAAACCTCTCTCTGCTTGTCTTGCGGCTCCTACGCAGATGAAGGTTTTGGTGTGAGCCTCACAGGGCCGCGGAGGTTAACGACTGCTGGGCCAGCAGCACTCACTGCCAGCCTGCACTTTCTTTTGCTGCCGGAAGAAATATTTTCCTTTCTTGTTGCACCTCATTTAGAGCAGTGTAAACAACACTTTCTCCTCGATGCTGACACCTTCAAATGACTTTTATCTTTCCTTAGTGATTTATTTACAAAAAACTATAAGATTTAATTATTTAATCTTTCCTTTAGTTATTCAATTCTTGTTCTTTACTTCCTGCTTTCCAATATGCCAGCATTTCTTTGGCATACAAGTGCCTGTGTTTGCTTTCTCTACTCAATATGCTGGAAAGAAGAACTATGTTACTTCTGCTTTAAAATATGATGCCTCTTTGCCTCATTGCACTTAAAAGTCGCTCCATCTCATTTTATAAACTAGCATCTAGTTTGCTATGTACTCTTACCTCTGTGTTAGGCGTTTTTCAGCATCAGCTGCTGCAGATCATGTTTCCAAATATGTTTCCATGTATTACTCATCTTCCAGGCGGGAGTTGTTAGGTGCAGTTTTCCTTCCCACTCCCCTCATCTCAGAAAGGATTTTTTTAACATGACAATAAACCAAAGTGTATGCACTTTTCCTTCATATCTAAATCCAAAATGAACCTTTCAAAATATATATATTAGAAAAAAAGCTTTATAAAAGCTTTATAGCTTCATAGTTCCATAGCTGGGAATCAATTTCTGTCCATACCATGCAATTCCTGCGGAATGCAGTCAGCATGCTCCAGGTGTTTTCCAGCTGCACGGGAAGGAAGCGGCATTAACATGGTGATCAAGGCTATCTGAGGAAGGATTGGCAAGGGGTGTCTCAGGCCAGCCCTTAAGTTATTCTGGACACTAGAGCATTCTAGCTGAAGCTGGGTAGAGGTTTTTAAGAGCTGACTGTTAAAAGCTGTGCAATGATGGGTGTACTTTGTGTGTGCAGGCAATGTTTCATTTTTATATTTTAAGTGCATTAGGACATGAAGGAAGGCGATTTCAAGTTAGCTTGCAGATGACACTTAAGCCTGTGAAACATACACTGCTTCAAGAGCTTCACAAAGATGCTTATGCAGATTTTCTTCTCCTTAAGAAACCTTTTTGACTATTATACTTCCTGCAGGCATTAGAGGTGGAAATAGTTTAGGTTTTGGACCTAACCTCAGAGTCAGGGAAAGGAAAAAGGCATTGGGCTTTCTCCATGTGGATTCCCAGTAACATTGCATTAAAAAAGGCAGTGAGTTGGAGGCTTCGCCAAAGTTAGAGGAGCCAAATGCTCCACTTCGTTTGTCTGTAGCTGCCATATTAATTTTTCTTCATTTGAGGTCTGAATCCTTTCAAGCTTTGTTTTGAATAGGTAAAGAAAACTGGCTAGAGCTTATGCAGAGACCTGGAAACCAGTTGGTGCAGAAAGATCACAGAACCCTGAGAACCAAGGGAAACTTTTTTTTAACCAAAAAAAAAAAAGTATATTTAAAGAGCAGAACATGCAAATTGCAAATATATTCCTAATGGTCACTATCTGGAGCTGCTGGCAGTTTCTGTGAACATTAAAAACCTCATCTTGCAGATTCCTGCTACTGTTCAGGCATCTGTCCATTTCTAGGTGGTTACTTGTAGTATTCAAGCCCCATTAAGTTTAAGGACATAAATTTTCTTTGACTGTTTAATCTCAGCCACTTTTGAAAGAAACTGTCCAGAATCCCTGAACCTAAAATAATAAAATGTCTTTCCCTTCATGAAAAAGGATACCATTTATCTGATAGAATAGGTAGCTCACTACAGGCATTCTCTGAGAAACCTGTTGCTACAAAAGCAAGTGGCTTGCTCATAGGTAGATAAGGTACCTTTACCAATACTCAGGTTGTGGCATTGCATGCCAGTATATTGGATTTCATAATGTGTTACTTTTATCACCAGCCTCTTAGTTTCTACCACTCTCTTTAGAAATACACCAGTCACAACTTGTAACCTTAACAGGCTTGTCCAAGGAGCATGGATTTCCGGACCCTCCTTTCACCAATATTTGTGTGTTCCAAGAGAGGATGTCTTTGTTTCAGGATCATTCTGGGCATGAGAATTAAAACTTAAAATGAAGATGGTGGCCAGCACAAAGAATGAAACAAAGTTAGTTTAATGAATTTCTTTGCATACCTGCCAATCCACCCTCCCCTGCAGGAAAAACAACTCTCAGATGAATAAAGCACATGGCATGGAAGATAGAGGGTCAATGCCAAGTTTGGCTTTGCCTAAGCAGAACTCACCATAAGATGCTGCATCTGCAGATCTTCTCCTGGAACATGCTCTTAGACAAAGGGAAATGGGAAAGGCAAGTTTCCATGGCCTTTTTAGCTTTGCTTGTGTCATCTCACTGTTCAAATCCTTCATGTGTCTGACATTGTGGCTGCTGTGCTGGGCAGACATGTAGTACTAAGTTCCTATTAGCTGCCTTGGTTGTCAGTGTATATGGCAGCATCAAAAAAGACTCATCAATGAAATGGGCTCAATATTTGAGAAGGATCTGAAGGCCATGCTAAGCTCCCTTCTGCCTGCACATGATCTAACTGCTGTGAGGATTGCAGTGCAGGCCCAGAGCCATACCTGCTGCTGTAGTTGGACACTAGGCATGCTTTGTTATCCATTTGGTGTCTGTGTCACTGGGAATATTTGGGATGGTAGCACTCTTTAGGGAAGGGGGTTGTGCCATGTTTTAGCTGGCTAGAAGTGAGACACTGAGTGTAAGTCCCTCCATCATGACTTTGCTTTCCAGATAGCAGAGATAGCCACCTTCACAGGATTATTCGTCCTGTCCTAAAATAGGTAGAGTGAACTGCTGTGAAAGACTGCCTCTTTCTCCATCAACTCAGAGGAAACCCTAAAAGCCAGCTTAGTCTTTGGCCAGCCCTAATATGTCTGACTATCTGTGTATTATTGAGTGCCTTAATGCACATGAAAATGTACTGAAAATCCCCAAACGCCACCAGGCAAAATAATCAAATAATAGTAAATCAGTTTGCCAAGCCAGCATTACTGTGAAGAGGTGAAATCCATATTTCAGAGGAGCACATACATATTTCTACAAAGGGCTTTCAGATCGATATCCTCCAGCAGATTAGGGCATTACATGGCATTGCAGGATTGAAGCTCAGCCCCAACAGGTGAGGTGCCTGGGGAAACATGTTGTTTGTGGGTCCCAGTAGATATACTGAGAATTTGCCACCAACCTGCTCAGCTCTGTCATTGATGGAGGTGTTCTGAAGGACATAAGATGTCGGAGGAGTTTTAAGTGGCCCTCGGCAGCATGCATCTCCAGGGTTAGGCGACAGCTAAAGAGGAGAATTGAGTACCTAATTTTAGTCCTTAGGCATCTAAGACCTTTACAGGACCTAACTGTGATGACTGGAGCTGAGCAGGTTTATACAAAAGGAACAAATCCCCTTGCTGAATTACTTTAACCTTCCAGACAGCTATGTGTATGTTTGCATCATGTGCCCTTTGAGAAGTGTTTCTTCTATAAATGCTCTCAGGCTTAAGAGATCAGCCGATCATTTTCCCTGGTTAAATGTCTTCGGGAGACACCATGGCTGAAGCAAGGAGTTCTGCTGTTCGGGACCTTTTGCAGCACTTTGGCCAGGACTTGTTTTCTAAGGCACCTTTGGAATCACATGTTCGGAAAAACCTTTCACTGTGGGTAAGTGATGTCTCTACTTCCAGAGAGCAGAAGATACCTGGCAGGGTAATGAAATGAATGAGCTGGGAGCTCCTTTGTTTAAATGAACAGTGGGAGAGGTGGGGGCAAGAGGGTTTATTTTTCATATGCTTAATGTTCCCAGACTTCTCATGGCAACCTGTGTACTTTGCAATTCAAAGTCACATGAATCTCTACTCAGCCGAAATGTAAATGTTTTGATAAAACTGTTCTTAACACGTTTGAGTCATTTAATCAGCTTGATTAACTGCAGAGCTTTATAGTCTGTCATCAGGAAGGATTTACTATAAATTAGTGGATTTTCTTCGAATTTTCTAAAGAACATCATGGTGTGCAGGATCTTGCTGCCTTCCTTTCACGGGAGATACCTGCCTCAAGCACCCAGCCAGTCCCATGCCGCTTCACATATTTCAGATCCCTCTAGACCTTCAAGTACTAAGCAGGCAGCCTGCTAGGCCCAGTAGATGCTGAGCTAAAGACAAAATGGATATTCAAGTGGAAGCTTCTCTGTACACCTTCCTTTGCTTGTGTTTGCATCTGCTAGATGCATTTTTCCAGTAGAAATGTTGAACGCATCTCCTGATGAGTCCCACAAGGACGGCAGCTTGGTGTTCCAGAACAGCTCCTCTGTTTTGTTTCATGTGTTTCATGACTAGCTTCATCCTGCAATGGATTTTCAAAGGCTGGCTGAAAAAAGCAAACTCCCAGGTTTACCTGTAGAAAAGGAAAAAGAGGTTTGATGAGAAAAATCTCAGCTTGGATACACATCATAACTGTTTTTTTTTTTTTCTCTCTCTCTTCCATTTAGTATG